CATAAGCATCAAAACTCTTCACTTGATATTGAACCAATTTTCGTGGAATGCGTGTGTGTATGCGAGTCCTTGGCTTCAAGAGTCCTGTGGAAATTGCATTTCTCGACTGCGTATGTTATGATTGCAAATACACTCGACAGACATATTCAATTTTTCGACAGCAACTCGTCTTATCCTTGGCCAAGTACTTCGGCTCAGAATTTATGCGGGGAAAATGGCAAATTCCGATCTCATTAGCAGATAATTTGCTATGCGTCTTAAGCCATTTTCCATTTTCCACACCTGAGCCAACAGTGGGAAAATTTGTTTAGCTCGTGCTGTTGGAAAAAATGCTCAGAATCGTAGCTGAAAATAAAAATGTGCGGTAAAGTGAAGAAGCCAAGGGAAGTGACTCCATGGAGCTTGCAATAATAAAGTGAACTTAGTGCTCGCTGCTCAAGTGCAATGGCAATTGTTGTTCCTTGTTGGTTTAACTGGGAGAGCATACAGTGCCGGGGATAAGTACGCCGCCAGGCACTCAATTTCGTAAGCAACTGTGGGCGAACTAGAGTAATCCACGCTCCCCGCTCATTTTCACAATTAGGGGAAATCCAGTGGGGAAGGCAACTTTAAACAACGGATTTTCAACTGGCCAAAACCAGCGATGGGCCTTTGTTTTTCCCGCTCACAAAAAGCGCTGGCTAAGAACAAAATTTCACAACATAAAAATCAACTGTGTGTGTGAGTGTGGGGGGGGTTTCTCTATTCCTTCTTTTTTTTTTTTAATATTTTGGACTGCTCTTGACGTTCTCGTCGTCGTCGTCGTCATGGTCGTCCTTGTTGAGTGCAAGTCCTCAACGTAGTCGCCATCTCCATGAATGCTTGGAATTTGCTTTGCTTTATGCTTCCTTTCCTCTTCTTTCCATTCCTCTGTTTTTCAGTTTTCAGTTTTCCAAGGAACGAAGACGAGGGGTTGGGGGTGGGTGGGTTTTTCGGGCGGTGTAAGTGCACCTTATTTCTTTCATTTTTGCATTATAAAAGGTAGGAATTAATGCACAGTCGAGTGGTGGCGGTGGAGCAGCTCGAGGAGAATGTCCAGAGAAGTCCTGTCCCCGTCCTCAAGTTGCTGAAAGTGTTGGGAACTGTTTCGTGGTTTCTTCTTGTTTTATGATTAAAGTTTTCTAGTGGGCGGCCGTGAAGTGGGCGTGGTGAAGCGCCATCAAAAGGACGGCAGAAGAAGACCTTAAATATGAATAATATAAAGTGTGTGATGAATTTTTACGAAATCGTGACTTGCCTGCGAAATTTCGCGGTGACAAATTATTCATCTATTTAGCTGAGACCTTACTTTTTTCTTGGATTTAGTTTGTCCCATGTTTTAATTGTTTACACATTAAAGCCACATGCTTGTCAAACATATCTCGTGTGTTTATTTTCACATTTATCTTTAAGTCATTTTCAAGCAATTTTCCGGTCTTAGCCAAGGCTCACTGCCACCAATGATTTGCTGTCTCCGTTTGTCCCTACGGCACTCTAATTTGTGCCGTTTATCTCACAGATACACATATAGTATGTATATATATGCATAAATCCCAATTTATATGCTCACTAAAAACAAGCCAGCCAGCACTGGCATATTGCTTATCTATTAAAGCAATCCCAAATCGCTCAACTTTGCATAATGCAATTCGCCCAAAAACTAGATAAACATATATATATTTATACGTATATTTCCAGCTCTCTGTCTTCAGTTTATCCTTAAGGCCTTTCCTGCGAATTTCCCCCTCCCCCCCTTTCAGTTGCCTAGTTTGTGCTGGCTTTTCAAAGTTTTCCCAGCCATTGCATGTCATTTGCATAGTTTTCATTGCCCAAAAGTCCGCCCACTGCCTGTTTTCCTGCCTTTCCTGCCGAATGCTGCTGAATGTTGTTGCATTTGCTGTAACGAGCTGTCAACAATCTTTTAGTTTGGGCCATCGGCAATGTATTTGCCAGTTTTTCAATTGAATTGTCGAACGACTCCACTCCACTCCACACCACTCGACTGAACTCGACTTGATATCACAGGCTTTCCACTTGGCTACCCGCTCTTCGTTGGCCGAGATGCAAAAATATTAACTTAATTTATGAGACGGCCTGGCCTGTTAATGTTGCAAATCGACCGACAAATTGCTCGCCATTGGCCGCCTGATTTATGGTAACTAGGTCGACCTACATGGAAATGGAAATGGGTATGGAGAATGGAGAATGGGGTATGGAGTTTGGGATTTAAGGATGGGGAATGGGGATATGTGATGCCTCAGACAATGCAACTAAATGTGCAACCTACTTTCCAATTATCCTGCTGCTGCTGCAGTTACCCCATCCAAGGACCAAGGACCTTCCCGGCCGCAACAACGAGGACTGTGAGCCGGGTTAACAAAGCCTGGCTGAGTGCATTTTAGCTGAATTACGGCTCTTTCTTGAGAGCGCACAAAAAGACAAGTGGGCGGTGGCTGGGCGACTGCATTGCATTCACCTGCATGTGGGTTTTCGGCCAGGTAAAGCGGGTGGTGCATGGGTGGTGCGTGGGTGGTGCGTGGTTGGTTGGAAGGTAGGCGGTGCACATGAAGTGGGTGAAGGCCTCGGTACACGCCCAAAGGCGAGTAAATGGCCTTTTGTGCCCATTGTCTGAGGGCTTTGCTTCAGCTTCTGCTGCTCGGCAGCCATTATATGCCAAAATAAGGCCACTCAATACCAGCACAAGATGCTGCTCCTCCCTCGTCCTGCGTCCTTCGTCCTTCATTCTGTGTCCTGAGACGCCGTTTCATTTGCAACACCTGCAAATGCAATTTTCATAATTCACTCCAATTTAGTAGACTTTTCTGCTAATTAGTCGCAGCTACATTTAGTTTCCCAGAAAACAGGTGAGAGCGTTGCTGTGCGCAACTTCGGCTAATTGCAAAATAAGCAGAGGCTCATTAAATTAGAGGAATATTGCCAGGAAATATGGCCAGGAAAATCGCCTCGAGGCGGAAATCTGGACGGGCAACATCCATTTCCGTTGCTGAAATATTAACCCACTAATGCCGAGCTTCCCCCCGACCGCCGGCCATGATTCATTCGGTGTCACGTTAACCCATTAAGCACTAAGCCATAGATACAGTTGTTCGCCGGTTCGGTGTCCTTGTTTTGCGGTCTAAATGGCACAAAAAGCTTAGCATAAATGAGCGCTGCTCTGCTCTGCTCCGTGTTTTGTTGTCGGTCCGCGTCCGGTAACAAAGCTCATTAGCGAAAGTAGCGGCGGCAGCAAAGGCAGCTCCTGCGAGTGCAACGTCATCCAGCGGAAGTCCTCCTTTCGGGATTCCCCAGAGGAGAGTGGCTATCCGAAAATCCAAGTAAGGGGGAAAAAGCGAAACATTTTGCAAATATTAAATCAGAGCGCCGACCTGCGAGATTTCTATAGCGCACTAATTAACTTGGCGATTTAAGGCAGTGACTGTGAATGAAATGCTCCAAATTGCGGGTGCTTATTTATAATTTGATGTAATTACTATACCCTTTAGATAGAGGAGATAGAAGAGGTACTGGGATTCGGCATAGAAGGGGTTTTTAGTATTCGAAACCATTAAATTTAAAAACAAAAACTACAATAAACGTCTTTTAATAAATTCGATAATTTAAAATAAAACCAGGTATACAAATCTAAAGTAAAACAACCTTCATACAAGTTAATTTTATTTATATAGTTCGTTAACTTATTTTTCTACTTAACCAAAGGGAAACCAATTTTATAGCAGATTCTTTAGCAACCAAAGAAAACTAAAAATCATTTTATTGACACAATAGTAGCAAACATTTCCTGGCATTCCTCGTGTTGCATTTATTTTTCAAGTTCCCCTCTTTTGAAATCTGCAAGCCACTCATCGAAAATTTCCTTGATTTTCTTTTAATTCTTTAGGCAAATAATAACAAAAACGAATCCAAAGATAAAGTTCAGAGCCCCGTCCCATTGGCAAGTTTTCCAGATTGATGCCGTTTGTCTTTGGGCGTCTTCTACCGACTTTTCCGGCTTTTCCTACTCAAATCCCGACCGACTGTATGGATTTGAGTACCTGCTCGCAGAAGTGGAGCAGCTGGAAATGGGGAAAGTTGGCGAGTGGCGGAAAAGGGGGGGCGGAAAAGTGTCTTAACAATTGCTCGGGCATCTATAAACATAATTAAAGAAACTCTGGCAAATTAATTCGAGTTGAGAATTTAACAATTTGCCGAGGGAAACTTTTCCGCACCGAACAATAAACAATCAAGTTGGCTTCAATGGCGACTGCCAACTGGCGACTGCCAACTGGCGAATGGGGAAACTTGCAACTTTTTAATCAAGTTGGGGATGCAAATGCAGGATAGTTGGTTTATATGGCCACCTAATTGGCCGGCGTTAATAATATGTGCTTGTTACCGACTGTTAAATTGCAGAGCAGCTGACGCCAGTGATTCAATTTGTCAGCTGCTCGTTTGGATCTCCCCCTCGTCCCTCGTCCTTCGTCCTTCGTCGCAGGACGATGGATGGACGGAGGATGGTGGCTCGGCGTTCTCGAATGATGTGACTTTTAGTGTCGGGCTTAATTAAAAACCCTGTTGGAGTAATCGCTGCGGCGTCTTGTCTGTCGTCCTCGCTCCTTGCAAGTAGTTGCAAAGTTCGATTTTTGTCGTCTGCGTCTGCGGTCGTTTGCCTCAAAGTGCAAATCGTTGTCCTGTGGAAAAATCAGCCAAAGGATGAGCTGAACTCGCCTGAGCCACGCGACACATGGCTTCCCAACCTCTCCCCTCCCCCTCTCTTCCTCCGGTTTCCTCCAGACTCCCTCCTAATTGAGTTGTACAAGACTACTACTAATTGCATTCGATGCCTGCCGCCCGGCGTTGATATAATTAAATTTTATTGGCCGGAGTGCCGGAGCTTAAGGTGTTTTCCGGTCAGATTTATCGCCGTGCGATTTAATTAAAATTTAATCGCGGTGAAGCCCACGTTGCCTTACTTGTCAAATACATTTATCTGGGGGCGAGGAGTTTTATAAATTTTTAGTTTTACAAAAACCCCAGTGGTGCCTTTACAACAATAACTTCGATTTAGGACACTTAAACACATCAACACTTTTACACGCCGAATAAATAGTTATACACACAAAGACGAAACACACAGACAGACAAAGCGAAAGGAGGCATGGTACAGCAGAGCCTCGATTCGAAGGACAGTGCTCCCAAGAGCGATTGCCCTTCCAGCAGCGCAGCTCCTTCGTCCTTTAAGCCAGATGAAGATGGGGAGCCCGACTTGTGCGCCTTCTGCCTGGACCGCATCCAGGATCCGGAGAGGCTGCACTGCAACCATGCCTTCTGCAGGAGGTGCCTCCAGTTGTACAGGGAAGCCCGCAGCTGGGTGGCCAGGAGCTGCCCCATCTGCCGACGCAGTCTGGACGGCGGCGGTGTCCAGGTGACCAAGCAGTTCAACGACGTAAGTGATTGGCCAGGTGGATAGGGAATCCATTTATGTTCAGGTTAGAATACCACTTTTCGTGAAACTTAATTTATTAGTATCCTTAAAATTCATAAAGTTTTTTCTTTTTAATATCATTTTATTATCACTTATTGGTAATCTTCAAAATATTATTTTTTCAAGTGTCAATACTTTTTGTAAACTGCATTTAAACTTATTCAAAAATTATTCCTTGAAAATCAAATTAGGAACTTAGAAATATTACTATAACTTAGAACTAAAATTATTTCCACATTTCTCGTGATTTGTCACTGGAAGAGGAGTCTTTATCCCTGCATTCTCATCCATAATCCTGCGATCTCCTCCAGGATTGGCGCCTGTTCGGGTTCATGATGGTGGTGCTCTTGCTGCTCAGTCTGGGGCCGTTTTACCTGCTGCTGCTCTACTGGTGAACCGCAGATTCCCACGGGAGCAGCACCTGATTTACGAAAATATGTATATTTGTACTTAGATAGACGCAAAAGAGAGATATATGCAAACTTGTCAGTGGATTTTAATTAAACCCGAAAGCCATAAAATGCGAGTGGAATGTGCTTTGTTCTGGCCCGTCCTTTGTCCTTTGACCACCTTAATGAGTTTTTAGCTGGCGATTTAGATAAGGGTTTTCTTGGGGGCGTCGCCTGAATGGAAAGTCAAGTTGCGGGTAGCAAAAGTGCACATACGCCCTGTGCGCCCATTGTATCCCGGTTTTAATTCAATTTTATGCGCCAATAAACTGCTTTTGATGCCGGCTTCGAAAAAAGCGTTGCCACGCATGCATTTTGCAGCGAAAAGCAAATAAATCTAAGCTGAGTCAGCCCTTCGCAATATTCCAATTTTCACAAATATCCATATTTTCCGGGGGCCCATATTTATATTTATGTTTATGTTTGTTTTGCTGCTGTAAATCAAAATGCTGCGCGCAAAAAATGTATACTTTACAAATATTTTGCCACTTTAAAATGACCAACAAGTAAATATTGGAAAATGTGAATATTAAATGTTGATTGGCCAACAGATGGATCAACTGATACCCTTTGAAGTTTTTTTTGTCATTTGTTTTTGCATATTGTTTGTATTTATTTATATTATTGATTCCTTTTGTCTGAAAAATATATATTATTTTGTTATTTTAATTACAAATGTTTTATTTGTTGTTATTTGGTAACAATAGTTAACATCTTATTGAATATATTTTCCATTTAAAATTGGCATTTGATTAATTGCTTCGATATTTATTTATTTGGTAAATCTGAAATTAATGTTGCTCTTTAGCTTGAAGATAAAATTTATATCTTTAATCTACAAAATGGAAGTATTTTGAAACTAAATAAAGTGTCACTATCTCTGGTTGGTATGCCAATAAATATTGTTACAGATTCGGCATTCGATTTTGATAGTCCAGGGTACAATGGAATTTAAATAGTGTTATCGTGCCACCGTTGGCGCTTTTCTATTTTGTTTTGGCCACGGCCCGTTCGTTTCGGCCATAATGGCTCACACATGCCACAATCTAGCGGCGAACAAATATGGCCAGCGCTTTTCGATACGGTTTTCCACTGCCATTTTGATTGCTCGCCAGTAGCTGCGGCTGCCCGCATTCGCCGTGGATAAAAACGCTACGGCATTTCGTTCGCGACTAAATATACAGCTGTAAACTAATATTTCGGCCGAGATATGGATGATAGTCAATGGTGAATGGAGGGACGGACGGATGGACGACAATGTGCAACTGGAGCAGAGGGAGTGTGCCTAATCCCCGGCCGCCGAACTGAGAGCCGGGCTTTTGGGGCATCGAGTTGCAAAGTTCCATTCGCCGCTCGCTGTCACATCCGTTCGCACAGGATATGAAAAGGCTGCTGCCACTCCTCAGTTTTCCAGGCACTATTTTTTCCGCTATTTGTCCGATTTGTGGGCCAATCCACACTCGATTTTCCAACCTTTTTTTTCGCTTTTTTGCGCCCCCGCCGTTGTTTGGCTTTTGTCAGCTGGCAGGCAAATTGAAATGTTTGCCCCAGGCATCGGTTTTCCACCAAAAGCCCCACCCCCCCTTTCCCCAAATCCCATTTTCCCCCCTCGCAATGTTTGTTTGTTGATCTTTGACACTAGGCTGTAATTGAAAGTTTTGTGTGGACATTTGAGGAGACAAAGCCAATCGATGGGGCTTGGATTCTGGAAAACTGGTTCAGCGGAGCCAATCCAAATTGAATTCCGACTCGTGCCGAATGGGCGGGCAATTTGCTTTATATTCTCAATTAGTTTCGTGAACGTGGGCGGGCTTAATTAATTTTTACATGTCCCGGCGTGACCTCCAACCCCCCTTCCCCCGCTTTTCCCCCTTGGAAAATTCACCTGTCCTGTCCTCATTTGTAACGCCCATTTTCGTTGCATTTCGTTGCTGGCAAGCGAAAGCGGCTTTATCGCCCGTCCGTGTCGCGACCACAATTTCATCGATAGCAAACACAGACGTCGGGGGCTTTTCCCAACCCAACGCTTTTCCGCCCAGTTTCCCAGCCAGCTAGCCAGCCAGCCAGCCAGTTTTCCCAGCCAGCCATCTGAGCGCTGGCTCATTGCCAATGCATTGTGCGGCGATTATTTTGCCGTTTATTTCGCTCTCGACCGGCGATTTTCGTTGTTTTTCCATCGTCCCCTTTTCTTTTCTTTTTTTATGTTTTTTGGGTTTTTTGTCTTTTGGTGAGTGAGTTGGTTTGGTGTGGCATGGGTTTTCATATTAAATTTTTGTCACTCTGCCATGTCTATCTTCGGCTTCGGTGCGCTCCAAATTGGCTGCTTTTCAACAAAGATGCAACATCTGTTGCCACGAGTCTGCTCCGGTTTGCATATCCTTTTTGGCTCTGCTGCAAATTGCAGTGCAGTGTTGGCCCGGCCGAAAAGGAGCTCATGTCCTGATGTTTCTCCGGCTGTTTCTCTCGCCGCAGAAACCCAAAATCCTATTCATTATGTCACTGCGAAAGGGAACGATAGTGGGGATTGGGGGGAGCGGGGGGAATGGGTCTCAAAATGGGGATTGGGGATTGCCATTTGCATGTCCTGTTTCGTTTCATTAAATGCCCGCCTTGCCGCATGCAATTACCAATTTATTTTGCCGGGGAGTGCACTTCTGGCTTGGCTCGGCTTTTTATCCTGCCGAGGAGGATAAGGATAAGGATAAGGAGTGAGCCCCAAGTTTAGCGAGTGCTCACATGCTTAAATTGTGCCAAATTAGTTCGGTTTTTTAGTCTTTTTCTGCGATGCAAATTGTGCATTGCAAAAGACAGGGCTTCCTCTGATTGATGTTGGCAGAGTAGTTTTAAAATGGTTTTGTTCTTTTTTCTTTATCCTTTTTAAAAGTTGCAACTGATTTAAGAAGTACAAATAAAATATTAAGGAGTTTACTACATAACTTCATTTACACATTTATATTCCTTTCAACAAGTTTGTTTTACGTGAGAATATAAAGCTTTTATACTTAATGCAAAATTTGATAGTAAAAGTTTTTATTTACATATGTTATTTTTTTGGTTGTAAATCCTTTCCGAGAAATAGCTTTTAATGGAAAATTTCTTAAACGTAGTTTTGTAAACAAGATACATGCGGTATATGTTTAGTTGTTAAATCTGTTTCGTTGATTTCTTATCTAATTACAATCTGTGTAAAGTGCACAATAAAGCCAGAGATTTGCTAATTTTATGGCTGCCACTCCCCATTAACCCTGCCTTGGTGTACATTTGTGTATAATGATTTCTGCCCTCTACCAACGTCGCCGAGTGTAATGATATAATTAATTAGTCGAGTTGAGCGGGCGTCGTTGAACCCAGATGCTGCATTTGTTTTTGCCAGCTGCCTGCACAGAAAGGGTCCTTGCCGTTGTTCCTGTCGTTACAGGTTACCTCGGCATATCCGCATGTTCTGGCTGGACAGAGTCCTTCCAGTCTGGAATCCCTGGTGCCGTGCCGTGCATTGTTTGCCCTGATTGCCGGCGTGGCAGAAACCGAAACCAGAACCAAAACCAAAACCAAAACCAAAGCCGAAGCCGAGGCAGAGGCAAAGGCAACGACCTCTGGCTGGTTGTCAAAGATTAAGCAAACCGAGCTAAGCGGACAAACAAACACGCACTCGAGGGCATTTGGCAGGAGCTGGCAGGATGGCCAGGACATCAGGACATCAGGATGCACACGGCAATGGCTGCATTTAGTGTGCAATAAATTCCCTTTTAATTTACTAAATGTGTTTGTGACTGTCCACTGTCCAGTGTTCGGTGTTCGGTGTTCAGTGTCTAGCTTCCATGTTCCTGTGCAAGTGTCCTGTGCCAGTGTCCTGTGCAAGTGTCCTGTGTCCTGTGACCAGGTTCCAATATCCTGCGCGTGAAGCGGACAAATGGCTGCGGAAGACGGATGATGCAATTGTCTGGCCCGACACTTAATTGCTCCCGATCCTGCTCCTCGAGCCACTCCGAACTCCGCAAAGTTTTTCTGGCTTCCAATTATGCAAATGCCGAATGTTCGGCATCCCGGCAATTGAATTTGCGTAGCCAGTTTGCCCGATTCGATGATGATTTTGTGGCCATAATGATTTGTTGTTTGTGGTTGTTCGGCCGTCTGCTTGATTGACCGCACAATTTCCTGTCATTAGGACACAAACACACATGGATGCAATGCTCCTCCGGCGAATCGAGGAAACCAGCAATCCTGGCAGCTGGATCGAAATCCTGCTCCTCCTGGAAATAAAGCAGATTGTGTATTTATGAAGGCATTTAAAATGCAAACACAACGCAGTATCGCTCCATCCCCCCTGTCATAATTTCACATTAACCTACTTCCAAAAAATGAGCAGAATCCCCTTCGCCTGCTCATTATCCTGGCAGCCAGGATCCTGGCGTTTAATTATGTCACACCCCGGTCACATCCTGGATGTTGACATGTGTGCGAGTTGTCAACGTGGAATTCATCAAACATGCACCGGAATTGCTCCCTTGGTCAGCTCTCCCTGTCTCTTTCGCTCTCCCTCTCTCTGTCCCTCTGGGCAGGACATCAAAACTGCCGGCCATAAACTCTCCAATTAGATTTATATAGGTGTGTGTGTGGGCTGCCAATCAATTTTTAATGAGCCTGAAATTGTTTGGGCAACCAACAATAGCTAACGTTGGCTTAAAAAGTTTTTACGACATCCAGCAGGATTCCATGAGATCGTTTCTGTCAAGGATCTCCTTTGGATTACCTAAAGCTTTCTAACTTTTTAGTTACTATGAGTTTGTTTTCAGTAATTGGGTTATTATACAAACTCGGCTATAATGCTTAAATATAGAATATTTGTTTGCAACCTTTAAAATAACTTAATAGTAAAACAGATTTCATAATTTATAATTTCAATCGTTTAATCATGTTTAGGTTAATAAGCTTACAAAGTTTAATCTAACATGTATTTGAGCATTCTTAACTTTTAAATTTGATTCATATTTGATAAGTATTTAATATAATAAATTAAGAAAATTCAGTGTTAAGGTTTCTTCCCCTTAGGCCTTCCTTATCTTTTCCAACTTCAAAC